AAGGATATTACTGTATCGTGCGTTAAAAACTTATTTATGAACTTTTTATTAGTAGGAAGAATGCGATAAAACATTGTTGGAATGAAATTAACGTATTAATGAATTAAAATGAATTTCAGTATATCGTAATTCATAATATAGTAATAATAGTTGATATAAGTAACGTAAAATAATATTTAACTATCTAGCTAATTTTGTTTTATGAAATTAAATAAAAGTTATACGAATGATGGGTACTTCAAAATGTGATGTGTACAGGTATTATTTATCAATTATTGTTGTGATATAACATAACGTAATATAATATAATATAATGATCCAGAGACACAAGAACGTGATATTTGTTAAAGTATAGTTTGACAATCATCATTTACATATATATATATATTACGTTGGAATTACATTTATTCCTAGAATTCACAATTGTTTGCTTATTAAATTTTATTTTCAAATACGTATAAAGCAAGTTTAGTCGGCTCACGCGAGATGAAGCTACATATTTTTATTTTTATTTCGATCGTACTTCAATATTTAGATATTATATTGTTTAATTTATTGTGTTCGATTTATTTGTATAGGTAGTGTAAGCAATTGAGAACAAAAAAAAAAAAAAAAAAAAAAAAAAAAAATTTAAAAAAAAAATTTGAAAGCAATGAAAATAAATAAATTTCACTCAAGAAATTTGAAAGCAATGAAAATAAATAAATTTCACTCAATATTTTGGAAACAGATGTGTCCAGTTTTGATAGATTAAGCACGCGTGCTTGGAAACAATGGAATTTTCCATCCTCGTTAAGCTCCGTGTATGCTGAGATTGTGAAGGTCATCGAGCGAAACCGTATTGGCAAATAAGCCTAGGGAGATTTGTAGTTTTTCCTGCACTGATTGGCTCCCTTCATCAATTTTAAATAGTTAATTACACGATCAGTGACTTGTCTTTTTCAAAATATTATATAATTTTTGTCTCTAGGCCCTATTTAATAAAACATCTTAGTAATGATAAATATCCGTTAGTTTTACTAATTAACGATTAAACAAAAAGTTTCAAATCTATCAAATTAATAATGGTTATCCGATTTAAGTAAACTGTAAGCTCAAAAGTCGATCCGTACCTTTTGTTTTTTAATTTAAATCCTTTTTCCACTCTCTCGTACGTATCAACGTGCATATGCGTGAGCGTATTTTCTTCAATAATAATCGCAAAAGTAATTATTAGCTTTTTATGGGCTTAATACTAGATTTCGATTATTCTAATATTTAAAATTATTCCTAGAGTGATGTTTTCACTATTTTATAATATATATATATATATATATATATATAATTTATAAACATATTAGAAAGTTATCGATCCCTGTAAAAATCACAATGTGATCACAATGTATGCTACATCATAATATATCATACTAATGTATAATCTAATGTATAAGAGTAAGGTAAAAAAATAATTTTTTACTCATAATTGAAGCAATAACAACTTCTCAATTATGAGGGAATAGGTAGGGAGTAAATTAGTAAACATTTCGTTGTCATAAGCTCTCTTTTTCACTGAATTCCAGCCACGGTCGAACTTATTTTTCAACGACCACGTAAATGCAGGTGTAACGTGAGCACTCGTGTATTCCGTTTACATCAAGTTGATTATTGTTCTTTACTTGGTGCACTTTCTTGCGCCTTACTCAGCAGAACTTGGAGATTTGTCCGAGGGCGGCAGGTTATGCCGCGCAACGGCCTTAAATCCGGGGCAGGAGGGGGGAATGAATTTCACGTCGCATTTTCACTCTGAGAGGAGCCACCGGTCTTTAGTGGCCTTACCTCCGTCACGACTTGGAAAGTTCCCGATAGGAAGTAACCATGTTTGGACACTTTTGGACTCAATTTTGAACACCGATACGTTATAGCTAGAAAAGATTTTCACCGCCCGCATACATCGGCCTCTCCAGGTGAAGCTTACACTGTTTGTTGGCACTACGTGGATTTACAAATCGCTCCAAGCTTCATCACATCGCACTTTTTTCATTCGATTTATCATTTATACTCTTTTGCTTAATCCATAGCCTGAATAACCTCCGCGATAAGCTGATTATAATATACAGTCAAGTCCAAGTTTCATGGGGGTTTGGGTTGGGTTAGAGAGAGAGAGAGAGAGAGAGAGAGAGAGAGAGTGAGTGAGTGAGTGAGTGAGTGAGAGAGAGGGGGGGGGGATTGGGATGGGGCCAGAGCAGGGTACGCAGATGGTTTCGAGACTACACGGCTTGATTTCTTGGCCGTTGGAAGGAGAATTTCAGGGAGTGAGTTTTCCGACGAGCAAGGGAGTCGCTCCATATTCTCGGTCTGTGATAAATGTTCGTTGGCTTATCTGCTACATGTGCTTACAGACTATGACTCTTCGGTTTGTTTCTATGGTAAGTTTTGTGACGACTTTGAGGAGACGACAGTCACTAGTCGCTGTTATCCGCTTGTCTATGGTGTCCTATTTAAAGACGATACGTTGATGATAAGACGTACAATTACATTTGGAGTCTCTTTACCGATATTCAAATTGCTATTAATCCCTTAAGAGAATCAACAAACACTATTATAATGTATAATAATTATATAATGTTTTATAGTAGAAATATTAATGAAGTCAGAAATGCGATTGCATGGTATTAAAGCAAAATTCTTTTCCTTTACAATTCACTTCATTTTCATGTATGTAGAAATTTTTTATTGTAAAAACTAATACGACACGTGATGCATATTTAACATTGTAAATAGAAACTTCAAAAGTGTATTTCCCAAAACATTTTATTTTTATAGCGTAGCTTTGGAGATGAGTTTCTGGTTGATTTGAAAAAATTCAAGAATGTTTTAACATATGTTGCGTATGACTGATGCTCGGCTGAATTAATAAAAAATTGTTTCACTTCAAAATTTATAATTCACGAATTCGTCAAGTCTTATAAAAATCACTGGATTTTCGTAGTTCTAGGTCTGATGACATTCGATTTTTATCTTTCTATTTACTTTCCCGTATATCACTCCATGGCTTTACGAAAACAATTTCTGAGTATCTCCAAAAATAACAAAATATACTATCATTTGAATAATCGACTACATAAGCATTGATATATTGAATTACATTAGATTTATCGCTCTTTAAATGTAATAATCGAATGATTAAATTGATAAAATGATAAATTAGCACATGCGAATTTGATAAATTTTTCTACAATACAGTGAAAAATATGGCGTTTAGATTAAATTTCAGTTTCATTACAGAGTTAAGTATTTTTTATTAACATCTTCGTTTCTGATTGTAATTGCTTATTTTATTTCATTTGAAATAAATTTTCACAAATGGTATTCTTAATTGTGACAGAAATACTTAGAGGGGAAGAATTGTAATATTTCAGTTAAAAATATACGCCTTTCAAATTATTCTATAAAATTCTAGAAAATTTATGAATGCCTTTAAATGCTTTAATATGCTTTTTAAAAGGCAAACTTTACATTTTACCTAATGAAATTTTCCTTTTAATTTGCGTAAATTAATATTTAACACATATAATCAATTTCTTGTCTGAAACAATGTGAATGCATTTTGGAATAAGGCATACAGATTAATTATTTCTAAGATATTCTGATTTATTGCATTAATATGCCCAACATTAATATAATTTTTAAGAATCTATTGTGATCTCTATTGTGCAGGATATTATGAATACAGATGCAAGGAAATTCAAAGATCTTTCTAGTTTCACGAATTAAAAATAATAAACGAATTTATGCGATTAATTAAAGTTGATTTATGTTTAGATTTAGATGATTTATCTAGTCATATTGCAATCGTTTTTCCATTCAAGCTTCTGAAATTTCATTATCATTAACTCCAATTTATTTCTGTTTATAGGTGTATGCACAGACATATGCCAACTTGTATATAGTTTATGTTTGTAATAAAACACGACGTATGGAATTAATTTAATCATCGCCAGTATATATGTCACGATGAATTTCATAATATTTACAAATCAATCTGTAGCACTGACGTCCAATCTAATAAATTAATTGTATTTTCATTAAACATTGTCCATCACACATTACATTTTATAATTTCGACCATATTGATATTTAATTGTGTCAAATAACAACTTATTGGATTCATTTATTTTATAAGTTTAACGATTTTATTACGTAATACATACCGAAATATAATATATTATCGTACATCTTCCAAGTAACAGAGTTCTCTTTAAAGATTATTATAAGAATCGTGAAATAAAATTACACGATATAGATCTAAATGTTAAGACGAATGGTACGGCGAGTGTAGTGATTGGAGCGATTGGAGCGATTGGAGCGATTAGGAGAGTTAGAAAGGGAGAATAAAACTCGTATTAAATACTCAATGTACGAATAGATTAATTTCTGGATTCTTTACTCGTTCTGGCTCACCTATCAGGCAACTATGATTCCATGTAGTCTCGCTGCTGACACTTATCAATGCATGGATCTCGGCCTCTTATCTGTCGCCTTCTGATGCTTCTATTTATAATCATTCTGATTAGGAGTTTCGGCAGAGTTGTTGAGATCCCACTCTGTTATTGCTTATTGCTAAGAGCGGAATTTAATTCTCTTCGATCATTTCCCTGCAGCTTCTAACCTACAAATTATCCTCGCTCATCGTCGATGAACTTTCGCTTAGTTCAATATCAATTTCAATTTCAATTTCAATTTCTCACGACTTTCATGCCTTCTATTCCATGTGACTTCCCTACATGTATTATTAAAGTGTCGACTTTATATTTCATATTATACTATTTATTACATCTTGTCGCAGAAATAAAATGCAACAAATAACACTCTGATCTGACTTTCTCAAAATATATGAATGTTAAGATGTAAAAATTTCGAAATCATATATACTAAATAAAGAGAGAAGATATATATTCCATTTAAAAACTATATTTTTATTGATATCTCATGGTGTGAATATGCTTAATTTTTAATTTCAGATGGATATTTCGAAATACATTATTTTACTACTTGTTTGCTCCTTTCACATACAAAATTCCTATGGAAAATTCAAGATTCTTGCTATAATGCCATTTAATGGTAAAAGTCATTTTTTTGTAAGTGATGTACTATTTGAAGCGCTGGCTCAGCGTGGAAACGATGTGACTGTGCTTAGTCATTTTCCTAAAAAAACACCCGTGAAAAATTATCACGATATTAGTATGTCTATGGAGGACGATGCTGGTATCCATAAGATAAATATGGAACATGTAACATCGACATTCCCGTTTTTTACACTCAAAGGTATTGTATAAGATAACAGGATGGTAAGTAGTGCCATCGATAATAAAATTTGCATTTTTGTTATAACATTTCAGAGAAATTTGTTTTTTAAATCTTAGTTTTCAATCTATGGTACGCTTTCATTCCTAATTTCATTCGAGTAGTGTACAATTTTTCATAATAAATTTGAATTTTTTAATTGAAAATTACACACACACACATATATATATATATGTATATATAATATATATAAAGATATTTAGAAATGATATTTTATACAATTATTTTTTTTTCTTTTTTTTTTCTGAAATGTTTGTCTTGCGTGGTATCGACACATGATAAAATAATTATATATTTATTTAAAATAATTATATACATAAGAATATAAAAGTTTCATTTGATCATTGTATATTTAACTATTAAAAACGTGTATGAATTATTAAAAATTATGTTTATTAAATTTTATGTTTTAAATCACTCGATAATTTGATATGACGGAGAATTTTTGAATTTAAATCCCCATTTATTTTATTATTTTTGAAATCTTGTTACAATTATTATGTTCTCATTAAAAATTGTAACACTAAATGAGTATAAAAATTACTCATATTTGCATTAAACATTTATAAAATATTGTCGAGTACTTTTAGAATAAGCAAATGAATGATATCTATAATGATTATATTTATTCATGATTAACTCTCTATAGAATTATTCGAAAGCGGCCTTCAAAAGATTTGTCGCGAAGGTCTTTCTCATCCAAATGTTCAAAAGTTACTTAAATCTAAGGAACACTACGATGTGATTATTATAGAGATGTTTAATACAGACTGTTTTTTGGGCTTTGTACATAAATTTCAAGCGTCACTCATTTTTATCAGAACCTCGACTCTGCCAATTTGGCTTAGTGAACGTACAGGCAATCCTGAAAATCCTTCTTATATACCCGGTACAACGTCTGGCAATCCATCGCGCATGAGCTTTCTTCAGCGGCTTGACAATATCATTTATTATATTAATTATAAACTGCTTTATTGGTTTTATAATAAACGATGTGAGGCTGTAGCAAGAGAACACTTTGGCGATGATATGCCAAACTTACTTGATATAGCTAGAAATGCAAGCTTTTATTTAATCAATTCGTATTTTGTGCATCAATATCCAAAACCATTATTACCAAATACTAAAGAGATTGCTGGGATGCATGTGAAAGAGCCAAAAAAACTACCACAAGTGAGTTATTAATATTTAAAATTTTTATAATACAAATTTTCTCATTTTGATACTTATTATTGTTTTCTCATTAAAACTAATTCAGCTAAGTTTCACTAAAAATCAGAATTATGATTATTATTATTATTATTACATATCAAAATTCTTACAAAAATATTACAATTATATAATTGTCTTGTTAATGCTTTACTTACACTGACAATTAATACAATATTATTTGTAAGTATAGAAGAAATTAAATATTTCATATGCAAGCATGAAAACTCGATAGATTAACTTTAAATTTTTTAGTGTAAAACAAAATGAATAATCATCTGTGTCGTAGTTTTGACCGTCTTAGGAACTAATTCTTTCTGTCAAGTAAATATATAATCTATGAAAAATAAGAATAATTGAAATTTTTTTTTTTCTACGAAATGCTCATTTATATTTCATATTAAATAATTAATAGAAATTTTATCCATAATACCATAATACTCGATCCTTTTTCTTTTCTTTTCATTTTTTTTTTTTTTTTTTTTTTTTTTGCAACCTTGTAAATTACCACAAAGAAATTATCCAGTCTAAATAAAATATTTGTCACTTTTTCTTACTATCTACACAATTTTCACATATATAAAGGCCCTTGCAGATATCTTGATTGGTTTCCTTTTCATTATATTCTTTGATCGTGTCCCAAAGAATTAAGGGTCGAAAAAAAAAAGATGGACGAGGTGGGAGAAGTTAGAGGGAGGGAGAGGGAGGGAGGGAGAGAGAGGGAGAGAGAGGGAGAGAGAGAGAGAGAGAGAGAGAGAGAGAGAGAGAGAAAGAGAGAAAGAGAGTGAATGACAATGAAGGTGATAGACAAAGTCAGCTGAACTATAAAAAGTACCGAGCTTGCAGGATTTAGAAAATTGGATCTCTGGTGCGACGCACGGCCTGATCTACTTCAACCTCGGCTCAATGCTCAGGATTTCAACTATGGCTGAGGATAAAAGGTTGGCCTTTCTCGAATCTTTTGCTCAGTTACCACATCGGGTGCTCATGAAATGGGAAGAGAAGGAAAATACAGCTGATATACCTGACAACGTTAAGCTAACCACGTGGTCCCCGCAAAATGACGTTTTACGTAAGACAAAGAAAGGACATTTTCAAAGAAAATTAAAGCAGCAAAAGTTTTTTTTTGCTTTTTTTTCTTACAACGAACCAATTTATGGCACTTAAATTAAACTGTGAACTATCGATTAATTACATATAAAGTAAAAATACGTCCTCGTGAGATTTTATTTTTACAATAATTTGGAAAAGTTTTTAATTATAATAGATTAATTTCAATTAATGTCTTATTAAAGAACCTTATTTCACATACTGAATTTTCTATAAAATTAATAATTATAAATTGTATTAGATTAATTGCCTTATTCAATTAATTCTGTATTAAATAATTTTCATTAACTTGGTTACATTTCTTTATTCGTTCAAGCATGATTCACCATATTTCCAGTGGATTTTTTATTTTATTACATTTTTCAGTCCTACAATAATTAGAAATGCACAAACATGTTTTTGTTTTTTCTATTTATTTAAAAAAGTACATAACTATTGACAACGAATGAACACACTAATGTTCATGTCTCTGCTCATCCATACAAATAACTATCCAAGAAAAATGTTATGTTTGAAATTTTATTATAAAACTTTTAATGCACAAGAAATGAATTATAAAGTATTCCAACTGATGTTTGATTTCAAATTATTTATTACATTTATTATACTTGTTGGATAGGTAATCTTAAGGCTGCATGGCCAAAAGTATCTATTCTACATATATTTAAAGCACGTAATGGCTTTTGCATTTAAAAATTGTCATACAAAATTTAATTTTCCATGAATTAAATGTTATATATAATTATCTTCTATCTGTCCTTCGCACAAAGGCTTAGTTCTTAGAAAAGTAAGTTCGTAATTAATTATTACTAAAGCATTTTGGTTAATATGAGAAAAAATTCTCACATTTATCAGTAGGGTTGTGTATTTTTGGCATTATCATGTTTTGTAAGAAAAAATTTAAATAAAAAATTATCTCAATTTTGAAAGTTACAAAGTTCATAATTCATCCTTTAGGATGTTGTATTAAAAAGCATTCGAAGCAATTTTTTTAATTTAAGCTTTGAAAAATGTTTTGCGAGAAAATAATAGGAAATTCTCCTTTCTGAACTCTGTTATAGATCATCCGAACGTGAAGCTTTTTATAACACATGGCGGAATGCTGGGAACTGTCGAGGCAGTTCACGCGGGAGTTCCGATGATAGCCATTCCGTTTTATGGTGATCAGCTGACTAATGTGGTTTTACTCGAGGAAAGAGGCTTAGGAATTGCTTTGCGCTATAAGGATATTTCATTCGAAACAATAAACAGAACTTTGCATAAAGTTCTCTATGATCCTGGGTGAATGAATTATTTTTTGATATTTTGCGTTTGGCTTTGCACTACTTAAAATCGTACGAAAACAAAGTAGAATATTAATCAAAGGAACTACGTAATCATCAATCATTTAATAAATATATAAATTTAATAAGAAAAAAAGTGAAAAAAAGCAAACTATAAATATTAATTATATCAGTGTATGCATTTGGTTATTTTCACCAAGTAATAAGTTCTTCAATGATTATATTATCATAAGGAAATCTTCATATTATCATATTAATTTAAAGTGAATCATTACGATAAATAAAACGAGTATATAACGAGGTGTTTTTTGATTTTCTTCAATATTTAATTCGTAATTAATTTGTAATTCAACGCACGATAGATGCAAAAGAAATAATTTAGTCGGGCTTATGTTGATAAGTAAATAAAACGTGTGCAGGAGGTGGAGAAAAGCAATATTTCCCGACTCGCGTGGTTAAGACTTAAGAAAAATAAAAATTAAGAAAGAGAGAGAAAAAAGTAGTTTAAAATTGGCGATATTGGACAGGTATGCCAGGCGGGCCAAGGACATGTCAGCGGCGTTCCGTGACCGTCCCATTTCGCCCCTCGACGAAGCCATCCACTGGGTCGAGTACGTCGCACGGCACAAAGGAACGGCTGCCGAGTCTTTGCTCCAGAGTCCGGCTCACGAACTGGCGTTTTACCAGTACCTTCTGCTCGACGTCTTGGCCGTTCTCCTTCTCGGGCTGCTCATCATTTTCTTCAGCGTATGCCTCGTCGGCAGATTTTTAACGAGAGTAATGGCCGTCCGGTGTCGCGGGACGAGCGAGAAAAAAACGAAATAGAACGCAGAATCGAGTTTTTCTTTTATACGGCGTTAGTGCCAATGAAATTTCGTAGTGGTAACGAGTATTAAATGTAATGAGATTTATTGCAGAAGCAAGGAGAATTAAGCTGTTCCTCTGTGTTTGGCGGTGAGTGAATATCGGTGTTTTTCATATAATGTAATTAGACGATTAAGCGGGTAATTGCTGTTGGCACTTGTTTCATGCTAATTTCGTCATTTCGACATTTACATTGAATTGTTTATAAGCTTAAAGTATATTTAAGAAATAGTATTCGTTTAATTTAGTGCTCGAGTTGGATTGTTATGGGTCGGAAATGTTATCGATTTTGCGCCGAACGAACATTATTGTACAAATAATTTCACTTTTTGCAATTTTACTCGTTTAAATGTAACGTAGCGCTTGCGTCGAGAGTTTCGTGTATATATTCGGCGTTACATCTTGTTGTAGCCGACGTAAATGACAGAATTTCGTTTGGTCATCGTTGCAAAAAAAAAAAATTTTACGAATACTTGGGGCTGGAATAAAAATGTAAATTCCAATTAGTATTATTGGGCATTAGTTGCTTAGGGGCGGATGTGCGTGAAAATCGGCATAAGGATTTGCGTCTGTGGATAGAATAGAAGGGAGATGCTCGGCAATTTTGCAAGCTGTTACATGATAAACGTACATAGTGCAGCAGCCGATAGTGACGTTCCCTTAATACAATTGCGTTGTACTACTCACTGCAACTCGGGCGTACGTACAATGTTTCAAAGAGTGCGGTGGGGTTGATTTTTGGAGTGAAAATGCAGCCCCAATGCTTGGCTTGGGTTTTTACGGTTTTGTTAGTCGCTGATTGACGAGTCCAAATTTTATCAACGGCTAGGA